GTAGCAGTAGGAGTAGCAATACAGATGTCTTCAAGATGCAGCTAAGCCTTTATCTGGAGCTCCAGCATAGCAGAGCTTGAGGTGAGCTGATGCCTGTCGTGGTTTTAATTGAGGTGATGTCAGGGTGATGCTCTGTAGTCCTTCAATTCCCACTGAAGCAGCTCAGGTTCAGTCCAAGGGCACAGTTTGGCATCCTCCCCTCTAGCAATGCCAGCGGTCAGGTCAGCTCTCTCACATATATTCAGATCTCCCAGCTTTAGTTTACCTTGCACCTTACAACACTCTGTAACCAAATCCAAACTCAAGCCCAGTTTTACAGCCAGGCTGGCTAATCTTTTGTGTCCCACTGTGGCTCCCCAGGGGGTGGGCATGGCCACCTCACTTTTGGAGGCACTGCAGCAACAAAGAGCCACAAAACAGCCATGTGGACAGGAATAGCATTTTCCTTAATATAGGGAAGTAAAAGGAGGCTGGCAAGGAGACAGAATGGTCTTTCTCCATGTGGATGCATCCAAGGGAAGATGGGACAGGACTTAGGGCTGTGAACACCAGCAGCTCAGCGTGTGCTCCCATTCCCTCCCTGGCTCCAGCCCTGCCCCATCAGCTGCTGAGAGCTCATGGGGAAAACTTCCATGGGTTTTTATTTGTTTTCTTGGGAAATACTTATTCTTGACACAACCCAAATTTACTTCTGTGATCTGCTAAATGTCTCTGCTCCGTTTCCTAAGCAGAGTTTGGAAGCATTTCCTTTCAGACCCATTTCGTGCCTCTCTCCCCTCCCACTATTAATGGAGCCACCGGGATGGCAGCCATCGTACTTCTCAAACCAACATTATCAGCCTTGTGTTCAGCTCTTGGGAGTGAGTATTTTGGGAATACCACGTTGCCACAGCTGTTCATTTTTCACACAGCAGGTGGGGAACCTGCCCTGTTTGAATGGCACGATGGGAAAGGCCAGTTGCTCCGCAGTAATTTACGACATGGGAAAGTGGGGGGTGTTCAGTACCAAGTTCCATCCCAGAGCATCCACACACACACTTCAGATATTTTAAGCAAATACTCAGAGCTCTGGTTCTTTTCCTCCACGCTATGGCAAAAGCAGAAAAGCCATTAATTGCACGAGCAGATGGTTATTAGGAAGCCTGTGAGATCTGGCTACACCACCACTGTGTGGAGCTGATTAGATGGACCTGTATCAAAAAATTCTAAAAAAAGGAAACATTGAAACATTTCCTACATTTCCTTTGCTGCGTGGTGAGAAAAGCTTTTCCCATGTGACTGCAGAAGACAATTCAAAAATAACAGCAAAATTGCTCCTCACAAGCCCACTGAGCCAGGTTATCAACAACAGGGGTTTGTGTGCAATTCCTCCACAGCGTCACTGCTGGGAAACAAACTCATGGGCACCAGGATGGGCACAGACAGGAGGTTTTGGGCTTTCCTTCACCACGCTGGCAAAGGTTAAACATATAAAGAGAGCAGGTGCTACAGTACCAGCGGTGCCACTGCTCTGCAAACTGCCTCCAAAAAGCCCCTCTCTCTTTTCTCTGCTGTCCCAGCTCTGCTTTACCCGCCTGGCTGGCCCTGCCTGGGGAAGCATCTTTAGATGGCTTCACTGTGGAGACCTCCCACCAAAACCAGCCACAGCCAGGCTGCTGTACTTTGACAAGCCCATTCCACCCCCCTGCACAGGTGGCAAAGGCACCTGGCAGGCAGGAGACTTTGAGATTCTCTGGGGCTCACAAGGCTGTGTCTCCAGCGAGCAGCCCCAGGGACAGCATGGCTCTAGCTGCCCAGTTTGGCAGGAATTGTACAAACTGGGAGTTTCCATCAGAAAGATCAGGGGCTTCAAGTCCATGAACCAAATCAAACAAGGCTGTAAAGCTCATTTGCTTGGACACCTCAATAACCAGGTGGTGTACTGGAGAAGCACGGAATCATAGAATTGTTGAGGAAAGAAATCCTCAAATCTGGTTATCTTGGTGTATCCTGGTGTATGCAATATACATCACTTTCTCAGGTGAGAAACTGATATTTTAGTACACCACTCAACACAACTAGCAAAGATCCATCTTTAAAACTATGGGACAAGTTGAAAATTGCTCTGAAATAAACCAACCACACAAAAATTAAAAGGAGAACTTTTAGTTCTACCCCCCTCTCCCCACCCAATTGTGTTTATAGATGTAAATCAATAGCACAGCAAGACATCACTGCAGGGTTAAATCCTCAGTTAAATCTTCACCTAGAATGAAATGCTTTAGGAAGATGGAGACAAAATTATCTTTGTAGCAGATACACAACTTGGGTGGTCAATGTGAATGCACTTCCAGACATTACTGTCAAAACCCTTATCTAGGAAAAATCATTAGCTTCATACTGCTCTTGATATAATGCTTCAATATAATGGTTGAAACAGCTCATTTTAAACGGGTATTTCAGTATCACAAAGAGAAATACAGTTATTATGGGCCAGAGACACTCGAGCCATGTCCCCCATCATTTTTGGCTGCTGGGGCTGACACTGTGGAAGGAGTCTGCCCTCAAAAGGCCAAACACTAAAGTGCACCGAGTGCAGCCAGAAGTCCATGAGCACAGCAACAGCTCCTCCTGGCATTCTCTTCCTGCCTCTTGTCTCCCACCACTTCCACCCTGATTCCAGCCCAGCAGAAACAGTCAAGAGCAGGAGAATATCAGAAAACATTGTATCAGTCTGTGGACAGCCCAGCTGTCAACTTTCCCCTGTGATTTGGTCATTTATCTTCTAAAACAAACACAGAAGAGCAGCGGAAGAACAAAGAACAAATTTCTGCATTTCCAGGACTCCTGCTGCTTAGCTGCAGCACAGAGGTTCCCACTGTCACCACAGATGCACATGATTAATTGTGCCACAGGAATGACAGATGGACACGGACACCAGCACAGTTCTCATGGATGTTGAATCAATTACTCACAGAGGTGGCTCAAACAAGTGTGTAAAGCCTCACCCCTTTGCTATTACTCATCTTTTATTTCCTACTATAAAGAAAGCACATTTTTTTTCCCCATGCCAGACTCCATAGTTAATTGAGATCAGGAAACCAGCAGGAGGGGAGCAGGTGAATGTTCTCTTTGGCACAGAGCAGCTCTGGAAGTGGTTTCACGGTTCACCACCTGCTGCTGCCCTCCGAGGGGAGCTGAGGAACACCAACCACGCTCAAACGGGGCTGAAAATGATCCAGGGAGCTCAGGCCATGCTGTAAGCCACAAAGCATGGAAATTATGGTAATTGGGGCTCACAGGAATCCAAAGGGGCATGTAAGGCCTGAAGAGGTCCTCTGAGGGAGCAGCTGTCTCCACAGCAGGACTCCACAGGAGTGCGCTTGGTGCTTCTGCTGCTGTCACAGTGGTGAGCTGTCAGCAGCAAGGGATGGCACCTGGAGCTCCTCACCCACACCTGGAGCTCCTCATACTCACCTGGAGCTCCTCACACACACTTGGAGATCCTCACAACCCCTGGAGCTCCTCATACTCACCTGGAGCTCCTCCACATACACCTGGAGCTCCTCACACACACTTGGAGATCCTCAAAACCCCTGGAGCTCCTCATGCACACCTGGAACTCCCCACACACTCCTGGAGGTCCTCACACACACTTGGAGATCCTCACAACCCCTGGAGCTCCTCATACCCACCTGGAGCTCCTCACGCACACCTGGAGCTCCTCCACATACACCTGGAGCTCCTCCACATACACCTGGAGCTCCTCACACACACCTGGAACTCCTCCCACACTCCTGGAGCTGCTCACACACCCCTGGCACTGTCCCAAGGCAGGTTTTTGCTATGGATGGACACAAATGTCTGTTTCAGCCATCCCTGGGGGTGCCAGCACCGCAGGGGAGATCTGCAACCCCCCAGCTGAAAGGATGAAGAGGAAGGTGGAAGGCTGAATTAAAAACCATAAATAATTCAAAGAATGAGGAAAAAGAGAATGCAAAGGGCAATTGAGGAGGTTTCAAAGGGTGAGAGCATGGCAGTGCCCAAAGGCTGCTTGGACTCCAGTGAAACACTCACTGGACCACCAAGAGGCACATGAAGAATTTGGCATTTTGTTACTCCAGACAACCCCGCTCCACTCCCCTGACACCTTCCATATTCTGCAAAAGGAAATGTGGCTTCTTGATTTGCAATTTACTGCTTTTGTTACATCTGATAGGATTTTCAACCACAATTCTGGGCTAAAATCAAAATGAGCAAACATTTTGTCAGGATCTCACCCAATTTGTCTCTGATTCATGTGAGCAGTAGGTTTTTATGATGTCCTTAGCTAGTGACATTTCTCTGGATTTAAATGTCTGGATTTTGAGTACATGTTCTTGGCAAACACAGAAGTGTCACGGGAACCACGGCTTGCTTTATGAAGTGATCTGCTTTGGGGTACTGCAACTGAGCAGAGAAGGAAACTACAGAGCTCTTAGAAGCCCCAGCTGATGATTCACAGCATCCAAATAATGCTCCTGATTCATCCCTTATGAAAACATCCCCATTCAGCCAAGCACTACATGACCCTTCTTTCATATGAAAACTAACAAAGGTGTTTTTATAGCACAAACTCTAAATGTCTATCAAGTCTCACCAACAAAAAAATGCTAAATATTTCCAGATTTTACTCTTTCTTTCCAGATGGAAGATGTCAGAGGATACAAGTCACAATAAGTTGCACAAATAAAAGTACGAAACTAATGAAAAAAAATTCATTTAATCTTCCAAGTAGATGTAAAACTGATAAACATCAGTTGCTGCTAAAAAGAACTGGAAATGCATTTTCAGTCAATAAACAAGTTTTGTTGCAGAGTTTATAGTCCAAAGGCAGAAAAAAGCCAGTGAGTGACAACAACTAGTGTTCACCTCTGAAATCAAACAATATGCAAGACAACATGTTTATCTGAACTTAGTGGTGAAAATTAAATATTAATCTTACTTTAATTTGTGAAAACTCAAACTACACTGATAGGCACTTGATTAAACTTTAGTTTTATTGGGGTTTTCTTACCAAAAATTGCAGAATTATACATGGTGGAATAAGTTTGTCACAAATGATAACAATTGTGAGCTCCTGACATGCTGAAGTATCCAAATCATACAAGATCAGGTGAGGTTTTGGTTAATACAACTAAGGGAGGACCATATTATGTCTTACACGTCTCTAATAAAAGAGTGTTAAATGAAATAATTCTTAATTTAATTTTCAAAATATTACAGAAAGTACAATTGCTTCTACAGCACTGCAGTGAGAGACATTTGGGGGTGGAATTCCACGTAAACATGTTCCACTTGTATTCCCAAGGTGTCTACTGTCTCTTTTTGTGCTATTCCTAGAAGGGATTTCACATAAACCCCAAGTCTGACATCCCAGGTGGAAAATAGCACAAAGCCTTTCCTGGAGGCCCAGTGATCTACTCAGGCCAGAAATGGATCACTTACACTTCCCATGTCTAAGTAGTGCAGCCAACCACGTTTGCATCATGTTGCACAAGAATGAGCATTATTCCAAACCAATTAGCTTCCAAATATTTCTTTATTGTTTTCACAACTCAAAAAAGGATGAGTCAATGTGCCCTTGTCTTCGTGTTTGCCTTCAGTTCCCCTTTCCAAAAACCCAAACAACTTCCTGAATACTCAGCCAGCTCTCCCCTCTCTAGCTGCTACTGGCTTTTCCTGCAGCAGTTCTTCCTCCTTCTTCTTGTAAAGCTTTAGGAGATACTCATCAGGCTCAATTCCTGCCTCCTGTAACTCTGCCATGGCTTTCTCCAGCCGGCGCAGCATCCGGGCGCTCTGCACTTTGCGGGCAGTGATGTACAGCGTGAATTCCTTGAAGCCCATCAGTTTGCAGGTATCCACCTCACAGATATTTTTAACATCTTTGGTCTTGTCCACCTGGGGGAAGAAAACTAAACCTGACATTCTTTCCAGGTCTTCAACACTAACTTGGAAGTCAGTGAGCTGGTGGCTGAAGCCTATGGGATGGTTTGGCACCACGAAAGCTCCCAGGACCAGGGGCTCTGAGGACACTCTGCTCCGCCTGGCGAGGATCACCTTGTACAGGTGGGATGGTACAGCCACATCATCCTTTCCAATTACCTGCCAAAAGGAAAAGACTGTTACAGATACAAAATCATGGAATTGTTTTGGTTGGAAAAGACCTTTAAAATTATCAAGTGCAATCATTAATCCAGCACTGCCAAGTCCACCACTAAACCACCACCACATCTTCATGTTCCCTCTCTCTGGAGCCTCTCTCCTTTTTGTAACTACAGTAACTTAGTATTATAACATACAATAAAAGTTCTGACATGACAATTCCAAATCGTGGAGGTTTTAAAATACATTTCAAATCAACTCAAAGTTACCATCTGTCACTTATTTTTTTCTCTATTACCCACATCCAGGTAGCATTTAAAAGCTACTTTACCTAAGTAAGCATTTTTTGAGGGAATCTAGATATACAGTACATTCAGTAACTCAGTATCTTCTTGGAAGAGAAGCCTATCCAAAGAAAATGCACCTAGTTCTTCCATAAATTCCCTACAATCCAACTTCAATGCTCATACATGTTGGTTTCCTCCTGTGTCCCACAGACCAGGATCCAGGGATTTAAGGGGAGCCCCAAGAGTGGAGAATCAGGATTATTGAAGTCTCACACTCACATGCACATAGCAGACACCTCATCCTGTGCCAGGGATAACTCCAGGGGAATACACCCATTGATGGCAAATGTAATCTTTCCAGGACTTAAAAAATTATGCTCATGCATGCATTAAATTAGGCTTTTCTGTTTCTTTGCTATTGCTGAACTGAATCTGTCATCTTAAGAGACTCTAACAGGCTCACACATGGAAAATCTGAGTTTTGCATAACACTTCTGTAAGTACCCTTCTCAAATCCATGCTTTTATTCTAATTGCAACAGAAGAAAAAGATGCAGATCCCTTACAAAAACTACAAAGGCATTTCATTCTTTATGTAAAATCCAGTAATTTGGTGCTGTTTCCAGGATTTGCAATACCTGCAAAAGCAAAGAATGATTGTTTTCATTTTTTTGACAGCTTTTGTTAGATAGACTTAAAATACCATTTCAGGGAAAGCAGGTATTTATCACATTAATTGTAAGTATTTTACAAACTAATCCAGTGCCAACACTGACAAAAACATACCTTGTCCACTCATATATTGAGTACAACTCAATCACATAATAAACACTTCCTATGTACACTTTTCTCTGAGTATTCAGCCCTTTTGCAAATGAAAATTCATTTTTAAAATTAAATTTTGCCTGTGGCTACCAAACCAAGTTCATGTTGGTCTATTCCAAAGTTAATTAAATTTCAGTTACAAATTCTTTCCGTGATTTGTGTCCTCTATCTCTGTTACCAGTTTTTTTAAATGACTGGTCCTAAAGTCTTACTGGTTAGACCAAAACCAAAGAAAGTACCTTCAGGAGAAAGGGAAAACTGATAATTTCTTTCCATTTTTTGTGCAATAAGGTAGCAGCAGTAGTAACATTACTCCTGTTTCTGGAAAACACATGCTCTTAGATTTATCTGCTGTGTTCCTTCCCTTGCCCTAAGCTAGGCTATTGAATAGTTTTGCTGTAGTTTAAAGTTTTTTCATTGCTTGGGGTTTTTTGGAAGGTGGGGTTTTGTGTGTTTTTTGGTAAGTTTGTTCTTGTTCTGTTTTTTTTGGTTGGTTGGGTTGGGTTTTGGTTTTTTGAGGGTGGGTTGGATTATTTGGTGGTTGTTTTCTTATAAAAATTGTCGTGCTTATGCCACCAACCTTCTCCCAAGTAATACTCTGCCTAGACATCAACCAGCCACTGAAACTGCTTAAGGAATAAATGCCTTATGCCAAGTCACCTTTCCCTTTCAATGATGACAGATGAGCTGATAGGGAAATGAGAGCTCCTGAGTGTCAAAGCACTTTGCATTTAGCATTCTATGTATGTGAAACCAGAGCTACAGCTCCCCAGGACCAACACCATAAATAATCAAAACTGACTGATACACAGGTAATGCTAAAATGCACTAAAACCAATGCAGCAGCACACTGTTGTATCTGGTGAGTTAACACTGAATTACAAAATGAATACTGCTGGGAGTTTTAACCTAGTTGAGATCAATAGCACTTGAGCTGGGGAGTACCTGCAAAATACTGGGGGTGAGATGGAGACAGCCAAGAAAATCCCTGAAGGGGAAATAAGGAGTTGATATTTCCATGTTCCACTGTTCACCCAAGGGCACCCAGTGATGACACAGCCAAAGGCAGGAGGCTGGGGCTCCCCTTCTCCCCAGGAGCAGTGAGCTTGCAGAGCCTGCACTGCAATCCCACCTTCTGCTCATTCCTACAGCAGGGAGGAAGAGGAGGAAGAGGCTGTAGCCTCCTGAGAGAAGGCAGTAGTGGGGCTAAACCCCAGTCCTCAGCATTCTCCTGGGCCAGCAACCTCCTGACCTGCAGCATTTCCATGCAGTATGGCCTTTTCCAGGCCTCTTTGCATACTTTTCCCACTACAAATCCATGGATCTGTACCAGGCCCTCCTTAGCTCAGCTCCCTCCTTCTCCACACCTCCCACACGCATCCACATCCCAGCATCCTCACTCTGGTGCATAAAAGACCAGAGGAAGGGCGAGCACACAGATGGAGCTGCACAAGGATCTCCAATTAGGGAGGTACATGGAATATGTAAAACAAACAGGTGAACGCGTGTGGAGCGAGCTGAGGGAACTGGGGATTGAGGCTGAGGGCTGAGTGGGTGGATAGAGAGGCTGGGGAATGAATAGAGCTGCACACAGAACAGTTAGGTATGAGATGGAAATGTTGAATGCCTCAAGTGGGTGTTAAGGGAAAACAGACCCGGTGCTTATGTAATATTATGCAAATATATATATTCTATGCAAAATAATGCATTTTTATGCATAGTATGGGCACCTAGGAAGAGAGAAGAGATGAAACAGAGAGGATTAGTTCAAAATGAAGGAAGGGCTGGCCTTTTGAGAAATGTAGATTTATATTCAACTCCATGTATGTAATGGTCATATGTAATTTATGCACCATTGCAGTTCCATGTGAACTCTCTTTTGAGAATTTCTCTAAAATTTAAGCAGTGCATAGGCTTCCTACCAATTTCTCTGAACAGCAGCAAACTACTACTGCAATGACTTCACTGAGTGCTAACATTGTTAAAGCAGATAAAACCCTCTTCAGCCTGCCAAACTGCCAGAGTCCACAGGTGTCCCTTCCTTACTCAAAACAGGGTATAAAAATCCTATGCCCAGCTAATTCTGTTGGAGAAGAACACCAAAGGTCAGTGCCTGATTTCTCTGACAAGAGTAAATATGCATAACTAAGAATAAATGTCTTTTTCTGCAGTTTAACACTTTATGTGCACCATGCACAGGATGCATCACCAATAATTTCTGTAGTGTGACCCAATGATTTCTGTTAAAAAAGGAAATGCAGTTCTGGAGCACAGCCAAGTATTTCCACCATTGCTCCCAGTAATATTCCACACTTTTCTGTTTTATGGGAGTAAACAGAGAAGCTGCAGAGAAATGTTTCCATGGAGTTTCCCCCCACCAGCTCAACTGCCAGAGAAAAAAAGTGTGACCCTGCAAAAGTGAAGTTTGGAATAGAAGAAAGAGGCAGGAAAAACAAACTCCACAATTCCATTTCCTATTGCCACCTAGAGGATTTTCCTCCCAAACTTCAATCACTATCCAGATCTGCACCATCCCATTTATCTCACTGCTTTGCCTGGCAGAGAGCATATGCTCCTATTGTAACAGGATGGAAAATGGCTCAAGATTATCCACGCACAGATGTTGACTTTGATTTGTGCCTGTCTATCCACAGGCAGCAGATGATCTTTCAGAAATCAAGGCCTGAAACAGGCTCTGTCCCAGCTGGAGAAGAGCAGCAGTTTTTTAAGAGTATCTGTGATTCTAAAAGGAATTCTGTGCTCCAATACAAGCAAGAAAACATAGCAATGGCCTTTTGAAATCACTGCTGCCCCACATGCTTTCACACCATGTTGGTAACAGCCCACAAGGCAAATTTTTGTGCAATCTTTTGAAAATTCCCATTTTGTAATTGCTACAAAATTTTGCTTAATCTTCCGAATTTTCAACAGGCTCATAATGTGAAAAAAAAGGCACTCAAGCTAAAAGCTTTCTTTTTATAGCATTAAATATATTTCTTTCCCATCATCATTTGGGAAACCAATGTGAAATTTCAGATGCTTTGCTGTCTATATCAATTCAATGTAAGAATGTGAATTGTCCTAAATTTTTGCAGCTTATTCCTTTCATTTTTGTTTCTTTGACTGAACTAGTATCACCTAATAATGTACCATTATCGTAATGTAATTTTCAGAGCAGTGTTTTTATTTTTCTACCATTACAGACATTCTACAAGTGTGTGTGAATTTGCTACTCTTCTCAAAGCCCAATTAAAACATGGACAGCTGTCATGAGGGCAGACCATTAAAATGTGTGCAATTGCTGACATTCAGAGATGTTTACCTATCACTAAAACAACAAACGTGTTGGTAAGCAGTTGTAAAAAACCTAAAAAACTCACAGGGAGAGATAAGGGCAGAACATTTCTTAAACCAGAGAGAATTCAGAGAGCTTTGATAAATTCAGTCTCACAGCCAAGTCACTGGATGAGGACTTGCCTTAAGCTTGGCTCTCTTCCCAATTTTGGCCAAATCCTGTTCTTGACTGCAGGTTTTAAAAACAGATGAAGCAAATTTGATAACACCTGTGGAGTCCTTAAGTATCAAAATAAATAATGAAGACATTTGCTAATGGCATCTAGATTAAGTTTAAGCATCTGGCATGAATTAATGCCACCTTCATGGTGGTAATCAGATAAATGCAAGGCAGTCCCTAAAAATGTTAGTTTGGAGTTTATGAGATAGAAAGCTCCATGAACAAGTGAAAAGGCATATAAGAAATATAATGGCAGAACAGCTGAGATTATATGAGAAGAAAACAGAGAGTTATTATTACTGGAAATTTTAAACACAAACCAATGTTATCAAATTTTCATTTTACACCGGACTTGTTACAGCTTCCCAGATTGTA